ATATATACATATATATATATATATAACTCGTGTGGATTGTTCCGTATTTAGGGGTATTACGTATAGATGCTTGTCGTTGTGTTTGTGTGCGTTTGGTCGTCCACTCACTCAGAAACATACATCCATATTTTTTTGAGTCGTGCATGTATTACCTATTCACGGGTATATTTATGTTCACGTCGGCTTTCTCCGTTCATATATATATATATGTTGTGCAAGATTTTTTTGTCTTCAAAAGTGATTGAGACACCACATTTTATCTGTGTTAATATTTTCAAAAATGTTGGTGTCAGCATTTCTTTAAAATGCGTTTCCTACCTGCTTCACTGGATGTCACTAGAAGGTTTCGTAAGCGCAGGCCTATACATATTAGGACTGTAGTAGAAAAGGCAGTACTTTTAAATCTATTGGTTTAGAGTTGAATATGATTAATTTTTTATAGAGAAGTGTTATATGATTACGGTTCTAACTTAGTAGTTGTAGTAAACTGACATGGACACTGATCATACAACTGACAAGCACTACTCACACACTGCTTGTGAAGGAGCTCTCTTTTGGCGTTTTTCTGCGCCCCACCTTCTCTGTCTTTCCGCATTCGCGCGACCCTCCACCAGCAGTAGCAGCAGCAACATTCGCTCGCTCGTCACACACTCTGTCACTCGCTTTCCGCTTTTGCCGCTGCTTTTAGCTGTTTCACTTTCGTAAGCAGCGCTCCGTTGGCTCTCACCGCTGCTCCACCGAGCGTCGTATCACATCCACAACGATAGACAGTCGATAAGAAGCACTAGTTCTTTCTCTATTCAAGTAGCTGTTCCGCGTGCGCTTCTCAAGTCTTCTGTGTTCGCTCCCTTCTCCCTCTCTGTGCTTCTCTCTTTCCTTCTGACGTTCAGTCGTGTGACTCCAGCATTTGCCGCACGTTTACTTTGTATTTGTTGTGATACATTCACACATTCTCTTTCGCTCTTTCATTCGTGTCGTTCTTCTTCTACGAGTTGTATCTTCAGGCACCTGTGTGTTCCAGCAGCACGATCATCTATCCAGCCGTCCAGTCAGTCACTCAGTCAGCCAGACAGTCATCCTCTGTGTTGATGTATCGTCTTCGAGGACAGCTAGTGACCAAGTCGCGTCTAGTGATCTAAGCTAGTCTAGGTAGGCTTCTCTCTCTAGATCTAGTCCTAGCTTACACCTACTAATTATCAATCTATAATTTGTGGTTGTTGTTGTTGTTGTTATTGTTGTTCTTTGTAGCTGCAATTGCAGATGTAGAAGTGGAAGGAGTTGTTGTTGTTGCTGTTGTTGTTGTTGTAATTGGCTCGACATTGATTGGGTAGAGGAGCCGAAATCGAGTAAGTAGAGTTTGGTAGAGCCTTGGTAGTAGTAGAAAGTAGGTAATAGTGTTCTAGTTCTAGTAGTCATCACCTATAGTCTGTCATCTAGTCCTAGTCTAGTCCTAGTCTACCGTTAGGCAACGTCGGCCGGTGCCTGGGATGCGTACAGGAAGCTGTGGGCTCCGGCCTGCAGTAGGGCGGCCGCCGCCGCGGCTGCGTAGCTGCACTTGTGTTTCTGCAGCCATTTGGGAGCCGAGAAGGCCTGGCCGCACTTGAGGCAGTTAGACTGCAGCGGCAGGCCGGGTTGGCCGGCACCCTGTTGACCTTGGCCCGGACCTTGACCAGGACCAGCACCGCCCTGACCTTGGCCTTGACCTTGGCCTTGGCCCTGGCCAGCACCACCGCCGCCGCCGCCGCCACCACCTTGCGCCCCTTGGGCCCCGCCACGATCGCCGCCGGCACCAGCATCACCGGTACCTGCGCCAAAAGCGGCCGAACCGCCGCCCGCACCGCTGCCCTGCGCTTGACCTTGGGGCGCACCAGTGGCAGCGCCAGCTCCCCCTTGCGCTTGCCCCTGGCCTTGCCCTTGCGCGTGGCTCGGCTGCGGGTGGCTGGGCTTGCGCGGTTTGCGCGGCTGCGACGCGCCCCCTGCTCCCGCCACGGCGGGCAGTGCCGCGCCCATATGCACCGTCAGCATGTGATCGGCCAATTTCTCTTTTTTGTGGAAGCCCATCCCACAGTTGGGATCCGCGTAACATACGAACGGCTTCTCTCCTAGAACAGAGAACGACAGAGAACAGAACGAACGCTAGGCAACCACTCTGCCGCCATATACCCCGCGCCGCCGTTCACCACGTCCACAATTACCAACATCCACCAGCAGCAACATCACCACTATCATCATCGCCAACATTACCACAATCACGTTCATTCATTCATCAGCATATTTTATATATGTTGTCTCTATATGTATATCAATCCATCTCTTTTTGTCTGTTTCAAGAAACATCGGTTCCTTTATTATAGCCATCATCGTGAAGCTTAGCACCATCAACTGCATTTAGCATTATACCAATGATCATGAGCTAATCATCAGTCCACTAATCAGCTAACCAATCAATCAACGATCGATCTGAATCTAAATCCCGTCACACTGCACGCCAGATCGGGTCAACAACAACAACAACGGTAATGAATGAATAAAAGGATGGATGGGCTGGGTGAAAGTCGAGTTATTAATAGTCGTAGCTGTTAAAATTTAGTTGAAGAACGCGTGCACAAGATGTCACCGTGGAACTAGACGTGGGACGGCTAATTCTAATAGATACAAATGTATGCACCTATAAAGCATATGGTATGTACATACATTCGTAGATTATATTCTACGCATTAGTGGTAAATAGTAATTGTTGTAGAAAAGGCCATATGATGAAAAGACAGAGGAAGACATGTGACGGAAAAAGAGATTTTGGCATGGGTTGGCAGGATATTGTGTCCGACAGGGAATGGTCGCAGGTGACACGGGATATATATACATATAAATATGCTGGATTAGATTTTGTTTGTACGGTGGACGCGCTTATTATTGTTCCGACACGCCTCACTCGAGGCTACCATAAAACGCAGAGGAGAGGGAGGCCAGACCGGCTACAGTTTGTTGTTGTTGCTATAGTGGGCGAAGCAGCTACCGGCACCCACGCTTACTTCTGCGAGAGGAATAATAGAAAACTAGAAAAGTAACATACAACGATCCTCGAATGCTCCCTTGCCATATTACAGTCGATTCTCCTCACAAAATCGCATTTACTATACATAAACGTGTCGATCCCAAATATTGAGCGATCGATGAAGCTAATCAACGCAGCCTGCAGCAGCTCAACAAAAACAACAACCACGACAATAACAACAGCAACAAAAGCAGGTATAGCGGATGCAAAAGCTTCACGAGTCGCACTTGTTTTCCAGCTATCTCTAGCGTTCTCTTTCCACGCTACTTCCAGAAGACATTGTTTCCTTTTTTACACGATCTGAGGGAACATTTGCAATCGTGACATGCTTGTGACATGATCGCTCTTGCTGTGAATCGTATGACTTTATCCACTTCGTAAATCGGACAATAGTAGATGTCAGGTTCGTACTTTAACTGGTTTCAACAGCCAACAGTGAACAGTGCTTGTCAGTCATTATCAGCAACCATGAGATCTAGGTGTTGTAGAGTTCGTCTACACTTCATGATATTTACTTAATCTAGTTCTGTGTTCTAGCGATAATAGTAACTCTATGTAAAGGTATCTATCGACCACATATTGTCATCCATTGCACGAAGTGCTTCAGAGCATCGGCAAGGTAAACTCATCCATTTAGATATAGAGAATAGGAAGTTCTACTCGATCGCTATCTTTATCAATTTGTATGCTTAATATTTTATATGAGAGTATCAGCTTGTGTTTTTACCAACGTCGACATTTCTTTGTTAAACTGAAAGTAATTAAAAAAAGAACGGCGTAGGCGAGAGCATATAAGAGACGCATGGAACACTTTCCTTTTCTAGAAGAATGTAACGTTGCCTATTGTCGACTGACTAGTGAATAGCTAGGTCATGATGCTCTTTTAACCATTGTCATTTACGTGTTGTGTATTTGTGCCGTTGTAGTAGCGTTAGATAGCCGACATGTTGATGTTTGAAGAAACGTGTTTATGAATCTTCTGGGCGTGTTACTTGACTTTAAAAATACTAAGCTTTCATCGTACTGCTCAACTCATTTTACGGAAAACCGTTGACTCTGTTACATAGTTTTTATTAAGCTAACTTGACATGTTCCAAGCTCGCTACGTGTTCCGCTGATTATGTGACAATACTTATTTTGACGAACTTCTAGCAGTTCAATGATGAGTCCAGGCGTGCATTTAGTACATATTAAAATGTAGAAACGCACTGGCAAGTTTATCTATACGGATGAAGGTAAGCAAGCACTGAGCAGTGCATATAGACTTGGCCTTCAATACTCTTTTCAGACGAAATCAAAAGCGTCATGCAAACAACAACAGCCAGCCATAGCTAGCAGTTTAGCAGTATAAAGCGTTAAATATATATTTTTTTGATAATTTAAGTAACGAGCTATAGGTACTATGCGCAGTCAGTTAGCCCGATCTAAATGTTACTGTTATAAGTAACAATGAAATAGCATTAAAGTCGCGTTCTTGCAATCTACATGACTCGGGGGTCAATCATATCCTAAATTATTGTGACACCCAGGAGGTCGGAAACTGATTGTGCGTCTTCCATGTATAGTGCGTGTTTGTGCGTGGACGTCTATGTACGTGCGTATCTCTGAGCTTGATTTTGCCTTTTGTTGTTGTTTTGTCGTTTGTCTCTTTTTCTGGTATCACTTTTGGTGTTTTTGATCGTTATTAGCATGATCAGACTCATAGTGGTAGTTGTATTGTTGTTGTTGTTGTTGTAGCTGCTCAGGTGGTCGTAGCTAGGTAGGTCGTCAGAGGGGACATACCAGTGTGCGTGCGCATGTGGCCGTTGAGCTTGTCCTTTCTGTAGAAGCCCTTCTGGCAGACGGGGCAGATGAAGGGAGTCTCGCCCGTATGGATCATGTGATGCCGCGCGAGATGCGCCCGCTCGGTGAACCCGCGGCCGCAGATTTCGCAGTGGCACGTGACGGGGTTGATGGTGGCTCGCCGCCCACCGCGGCCGCCGCCCCCGCCGCCCCCGCCCTGCTGGCCGCTCGCGCCGCCGCTGCCGCTGCTCGGCTGAACCGACTGGTTCATCAGAGCCAGCGCCATGCCAACTTGCTCGCCGTTCGTCGCCTTCGGTGCCTCGCCCGGAGGCCAGCCTGTAGTGATCGAGTTGTTGTCGTAGTTGTTGGAGCAGGAGTACAACCAGTGCCCACAGCGTCACAGCAAACAGAGATCCCAAACACACGAGTCAGATAATCAGTTACTACAGTGAAAACCCGCCTCCATTTGTACTTGCACTTTCTTTTTTGTCTTTGTCAGTGACCAGTTGGCCGTAAGTACCGAATGCCGTATCTGACCACCAGTTGCTACTCTCTTTCGCTCCTTCGCTCTCTTTTTCTGCCTTCCAGGCTACTCTATAGCTTCTGCCGCTTGCTTAAATGTCTACTTCTTCCTTCTTAACAAAAGACTCATACAATCGAAACACATAAGATAGGCTCTGTTTTCATTCGCATCAAGGGAGCTGCGGGTTCAAACAGCGGCAACACAGCGCCTTAAAGACCATTGGTTCACCGGGCGATTGGAGAGCGCACGGACAGGCAAGGTACTTTTTCTTGTATTATTCCTTAGCCCTGCCTCATTGCAACTATCTTCCACCAGTTATGTGTAGAACAGATTCAAAAACATCCCAGAGATCAGGATGGAAATAGTGTGACCATTCGTGTGTAACGTACAACGAGCTGAAAGGAAAGGGCGCTGCCAGACCACGGCATCACTCTGATCAAGTTGAAGTTGAATTCGTCTCGGATGAACATTGCAAGGCCTGAGGACGTAGAGTCTGAACACGACAATGAACCAGGAGGACCGATGCAGGCGAGGAATGGCAAAAGGTTTTGCTAACAGTTACTGATTGCCTTACGTAAATGGCGGGGTCGTTTTGCTCCGCGAAAAAATTTCAGTCCGCCTCTTTTAGCCAACTACAGACCGGTGTGTTTGGTAGTCGATTCGCTTAATTTCGGCACCAACATCGTTTACAAAGATGAACTAAGGGACGATAATCAGGCAACTGATGTTAGCGACTTAGGCGTATTTGATTAAGGATTTTCGACGCCCAATAAAAGTGGAAGTGACACTATACACCGCTCCTTTGCTTATAAATATTTTCTGCCTAAATTCGCTTCTTATCCCAATTTTGTCAGCGACCGCGATTCCACACTGTTCTTGTTTATCTTCAGCGAATGGCGAAGCTGTCTTTCTGTGATTCTTCTAAATAGCGGATGTCATCTCCCAGGGCACCCGCTCCTGCCCCCCGCCGTCCCTTTTTCTACCCCTTGAGCAGAGTAGCAAACCAGCAGCTGATGAGCAGCAGCAGAAGTAGTATCACCAGCATCGTTGCAACGGATGGTGACTGATTGATGAGCTTGCGGCACTCGCTTACCCAGGCGCACATCTCCGTTACCCCCGACTGGAGCTCTCTACAAGCAAGCAGCCAACCAGCGAACTGGGTGTACTCTCGTTGAGGCTTCATTTTCACCACGTTACGTTACAGATCTCGTAACACTATAGCATTGTAGTAGCAACGAGTATGGCAGCAAAAATAGCAGCGGTAACAACGGCAACAACAACAACAACAACGACGACGACGACGACGACGATGACGACGACCGCGACGAGAATCGACAGTAACAACAAGAAGACGAAGACGAGGAGAACAACACGAATTGCGAACGCCAGAAGGCGGCTGTATATATATTATGTAATGTAGGCCGGGCATTAAGCAAATTTAAGGAATACAATTGATACAGTACATAACAACTTCAACTGATTCTTGCCACTATTCGAACTCGTCATCTCTTACAGCTGTAGTTAGATAACTCGGCATTTTGTTGTCACTATTGCTGTTCAAACAAGCCTCGTTCAACAGCAATGAATAAAAAGTTTCTACTATAATATTGCTTTCTTCTGTCGACCGTCTGAACCTCCTGTCATAAAAAAGTGTTCTTAAGAGACTCTGCGTCGGTCCCCCTGTGACATTCGCGAAGTCACAATCAACCAAGCGTCATCAGTCAGTCAGCTGTTGCAACCTAGCAACCGGAGTAGAACGTGTTACGCCCAACGTTGTTGACCTTTACAAGTTCCGTGCACGTAAAGGAATGTAACATCATCTTACGCTTGCATGGTTTGCCGGCAGCGCCCTTGCCCTTGAAGGCCTAGATTCTGTAGTACGTTGATAATTCGGGATAGGGAGTTACTAGGGCGAATAGGAATGCAGCCATAGCCACCATCCATTGCTAATGGAGACGCCCCTTTTTTATCAGGAAAATTCGATAGGCATGTATAAAGCGCTACATTCGTCAAGCACGTCAACCGCCATGCAATGTTAAACAAGAAACCATACAGAATTGACATACATCTCAAATAAATTTCTATGCGATTCGATCTGAACTACGAAGAAATTTATAAGATTACATAAGCGCATGCGATGCAAAGAAGATTAACGATAAAAGAACCGATCTGGGTACAGACATAGTTATCGGGTGAAGGGTAACTCTTCATTATGACCTTTACGACTCATAAAGTAAGCCAAGATAGAAAAAAGACTGAATGGTCGACATTCTGGTGGACAATCATATTTGTAGAAGTGTACATAAAAAAAAACTCCGACGATAATTGCGCCTCTGAGAGCACAGGAAAAGAGGCAATTGGTTAAGGAATGTTGCTGGTTGATCTATTCAAATGCTGGTCGTGGATAGTTGGACACATGGTTTTCGGGGCATAGAATTGGTACGAGCTCTGTTTTCTAATGAGATCGTTTTCAGTCGAGTCGCTATTTGTGCGCCGAACGGGGTGCACTTTTTGTTTTTCAAAAGCAGGTGTAAAAACAAACTTACCAGTATGTGTGCGCCTGTGTCTAGTGAGTTTATCCTTCCTGTAGAAGCCTCTGCCGCAAAACTCGCAAGCAAACGGCCGTTCCCCGGTGTGGATCATCATGTGCCGCGTGAGGTGGTTCTTCTGCGAAAAGCCTCGTCCACAAACGTCGCAGTGAAACGGCCGCTCACCGCTGTGGGATCTCATGTGGTCCAGGAGCTTGCAGCGGTAGCTGAATCCTGCGGATTGGGGGCATACGCCGCCCGTGGGTGGGAATGAAACCAGGCACCAAACAGACAGCCGGACAATCAGACAGAAAGTTGTCGCCAGACAGCAGTAACCAATCAGACAACAACAGCAGTCAACAACCGAATGAGGGGACGAGGTTGGGGGCAAAGGGAGCCAATGATGTACCAGTGCGAAAAGCCCAACAAATTAGCCAACGAGGTTCAAGGTTGTCCCGCAACGGAATAACCAATCCAAGACACCGTCAAAGACGAATGAGCCAGGACATTGAGTCAGCAAATTATACAGTGGCAGAAACCCGTCAGCCGAATAACATGTCAAAGTTTAGAGCAGATTAGAAAGGTAGAAGAACGTATAACCAGACAACCACCCATTGTCGTATCGACGCATAAACAAGGGTTTTGTCGAACACATATCAATGCGCAAAGTCAATTATTTACATGTAGATTGTTAATTATACATATACGGAAATAAGCCCGAAAATTTGATTGGCAGCGTTCAGTAACAGGAAATATGGCCCAATGATGATATCGGGGGGTAGAGTTGGGTACCAAGGTGTTATTAAAGTCAATTTGGTAGTCAGGTTAGGGGATAGACCAATGCGGTTGTTGTTTGTGGTAAGCAGAAGAGGTACGCGAAGCAAAAGGAATAATGAATAACGTCGAAATCATTTCAATGATAAGATGTGTATAAGGCATGGGCCAAAAATAAGTGGGATAACACATAATAAATGATGTTTTGAATCGTCGGAAGAACAAAAATATTACATCAAAATATCCACAAATGTTACCGAACGCCGTTAGGAATTGCATTGTTGGTAAACGAATTGGTTAGAATAGAAAAGGAATGGGAAAAGAAGGGGCCGTAGAGGAGGATCACACAGAAAAAGAAGACAAAGTGAGAGACAGACAGAGAGAGATTGCTTTAGACATGTTTAATAAACGGTTGGGTCCTGCTCCATTTAACTTCTTGGAGTCGACAGACACGCCCCTTCACACAGACACACCCGCACATCTTACTGTATCTGCTGACACACGGGAGACACATCAGCATCCTGATCTGTTCTTTGTTTTTGCAAAAAGTTTAACTTATTTTTTTCTGAATCCTTAAATAGAAAACTCCCAAAAGCAACCAAGAGTAAAGTATGTAGGTCCATACGTATACGGTGCTCTTTGACTAGAGCTTATGCCTTGGTCATCGCATGTAAACTTTTCAACTTTTTAAGGGCATATGCAAAATATTAGGTATCATTTGAATATCGGGAGCGTCCACTGTTGTGTCTGTGCAGTAGTTGCTATACAATAGACTCGAGGACGTTATGAAGCACTCAGGAAAACGTGAAACACAAACAAAGTATCTTTACTTAAACTAACGTAATCAATATTGTCCAATTTAGTTCGCATGCATTAATTGAGTAGCCGCAATATTATAAAAATGATTAATAGCAAATCCTTTAAAAAGTATGTTATACCTGATCCACAGATGCTGCACGAGCAGTTCTTGTCGGCTTGGTGAGCTGAACGCATATGAGCCTTCATTCGGTCTTGGGTAGCAAACAACTTTCCGCACACTTCACATGGAATGTTGCGCCCTTCGACCTAAAAACAATAACGTTTGAACACCGGTCAGTGAACAATATCTAATAAATATAGATCTAATTGGCTTTTGAGTTCACAAGCTCACGACAAACGCTAGCTTGAAGTGCGTAATATACGTACTGGCCTTTTAAAAAATGTCTAGTAGCAAACAAGTCCACAATTTGCATAGGAAGCAGCTTTTACTTTAAAGCAGATTAGTAAAGATAAAGATCTACTTCAATACTTAGAAAAACGTTTTTCAAACGGTAGCTTACAACAATTTGAATATAAGCTTAAGATACATTCTTAATATTAATCCTGTTTGTTATGCAGACACTTTTCAAGCAAAAATATTTTGACTGTTGAATAATCTAGTCGTAATTTTACGTGACATCAACGAATGAATTTGTCCGATTAATTTGCGGGTAAATTTAGACAAGCTGTAGAGTGCTGAATCTCGAAGAAGTGTATATTTTTTTTTGTCATTATTTTCTGCATTGGCATAGGTTACAAAGACCATGTGGATTACGCCAGTTCTATTGATTGTTTGTTCCTTTTAGCATAAACATGGCCTTTGCGAAAACGCAAGTAGAGGTCGAAAGTGTCGAAAAGTTAAGACAAAAGGACCACCACCTTTACCTGGCCCGGTTTCTGCGTGTGCGTGGTAAGATGAGCCTGCAGCTCAATTGCGGATGCGAACGGAATCTTGCACGACGGGCATGGCCACGGTTTTTCTGGTGTGGCAGAACCCGCGTTCTGCGTGGCTGCCACGCCGCCGACACCTGCGTAGCCTGAAACACCTGGTCGCCATTAACATAGCGTACAACAGATATAATAAATTGAAGGGATTAATAGACTGCTCTGTTGGTAAAGACAGTGACAAAAGGAACAATAATGAAACATGACTAACAAATTAATGAAGCGCCCTCGTAAAAAGGGCTTGGTCCAATGGAAGTCTGTAAGAGAGCTCCACCGATATATTTTGTAGAATTTCTGCATAGTACGTTCTTGTTAATCCAGAGTCTGTTCGAAGGCTAGATTCGATCTACTCACCTAAAGCCACGGCAAGGTTATGTTCGCTACTGCCATTGTTAGACGAGTTGTTGTTGGAATTGTTTTGGTTAGCATAATTGAGGAGTTGAAGACCTGATACCGGCGGCGGTTGCCCGCCATGAGCGGCTGCTGCCGCCTGACCCAACGACACGAGCTGCTGTGCTGCCGCCACCTGTTGAGCGGCTTGCAACTACGCCGAAAACAACGACCATGGAAAAGATTTGTCAAGACTCATTGATATCAAACTAACGTTTAACTTCCTATTGTTATTACCATACGTTTGAAGTTATGCAGCCGTTTTAACATAATTTTTCCGTAATCTCTATAAATTACTTTTTGCACATGGGTTTCGATGTTCAAATTCACGTCGATGCTAATTTAAGCCGAACATGGACTAACCTGATATAGGTGCTGCGGGTCCATAATTACAGACGCCTGCGAGTGCGGTGAGTGTGCTGTAGAAAAATGTAAAGGTGACGGAGCAGTGCTCGGCGTGAAATGGTTGTTGTTGTTGTTTTGAGCTTGCAGACCGTTGGAGTTGGCCTGTCCGCCTGACGTTAAGGAGGAGCTGCTTTCCAGTGAAGAGGCCGCTAAGGCAATCAAGTTTGAGTTGCTTCCCCCAGAATTGACTGGATTAATCGGATGTATACTTAGCCCGTGACTTGACGGGAAATTAAACGTCGGTAGAAATCCACTTAAAGGCCGATTCTCGTCTTGGTGATCACCGGTATCCTCCTGTCGCACGTTCAGCATTGCACAACAAACCACAAGGATATGACTTTAGCATCAGAGAATATAATTTCAGCTCACGCTTGGCGTTACAATGATTATGCTAGTATTTATAGATACAGCTTTTAAGCAATAAAGATCAATCTAAGTGGTTAAATACTTTTCGAAAGTATGGAAGTCCTTAAATCTAACTCGGTTTGCTGTCAGGCACACGTCACCTCCTCTACTCCAGTCGTCTCCGGATACGAAATTCTCTTCGAAAATAATTACCGGAAAAACTACCTTAGATGATTAGTTAATCTAAAAGATATCTTTAAATATACATTGACATCCAGTATTCAACTTTAGAGTTTGAAGATAATTGAACCTTGGTCTCGGTATTGGACATCGTACCCTAAAAAGGTTATCTCGTTTTAGAAGATTCGTGTGATAAGTTGATTATATTACATGTTATTACCTCAAAATTGAAGAACACGTAAGTAGAAAACAAATAATAATAATAACGAATAATAGATAAATAAAAAAAGAATAAGAAACGTTTGTTAGTTTTGTAAAAGCAAAAATAAATGCATCAATTCTACACAGTTTATGTTGATAAACTTAGCTATTTAATTCTTTATATTGTGAGGCAGTGCTATGTGGAATGGACCACATTAGGATATATTCAAAGTACTTTCGTGGACTATTGATTCGTATATTGAACTCTTGTGTGTTTATGAGGGCTTACCTGCTTCAATGACGGGAGTCGAAGTAAAGGACCGTTTACGTTAAGAAGGCCTAGAGGTTGTTGTTTTAGGGGTGAGCTCCCAGAGGACGAAATTACTATTGGGCCACAGCTATTCACAAGCTGATCACTACTGCTTGCTTGTCTCGTCTCACGGATGACCGATGTCTGCGCACAGTCGGAAAAGATGCATTAGTTAAGCCTATAAACTATATCTACTATATGCAAGTGACAGACAGATGAACGCTTCATACAGACTTATCTATAGACCGCTGCAAGTTGCAAAAAAGCTGAATTACTTTGATTAACTGTGGGGCGCCTTTTAAAACGCTCTTTTCTAAGACGGCTTTACATTTAGCAGAATTTACCTGGTTTCTTGTTAGGCCAATCTCGACAGCTTGTGTCAAGTGCTAATGAGCCAAACATAGTGTATTGATAGATCTTTAAAGCAAACTAACCATTTATTAATTAATACTTCATTATATCCATCAAGAATTAGTTCCGTATTTGCTGATGCTTAGGCCGCTGTTTAGATTAGAAACTAAGTTAATTAAAAAAGTAAATAAATACATTTCTTATCCTCAACTCAGCACAAAACCAGAAAGCTATAAATTAGAGTGAACAAAAAATCTCTTCCAAAGATGTGAATTTTATTGTTAGCCCTGTTTAGAATAAAGGATAGTTGATTACGTGATTTCCACGAGGCGAGCCAAAATTTCATAAATCGGGTTTAAATTTAAAGAGCTCAAAACTTATCAAAGTGACTTGAAAAGTATTTTTGGTACACTAGAACTTTTTTTTAAGAAATTAACGGCCGTTTTAGATGTATTGCTAATTAAGTTATTCATATATAAACTTTAATAGTTAGCCTTCTTGCGAATTTTACCCTTTTTTTTGCATTTTCTGAATTTTTTTTGTCATTTATACTCTTTGCATTTTTCATGGCTCATTTACCTCCTATTGCCGTAAGATTAAATTCTGCTGAAATTTTTCATAGATAACGTATTTGAGCGATACTTTGTCAATTTTAAACGTGGATTGGTACTCGGTCACTATTAAGAAGTTATCTGCGGATAATAGAAAATGTACTGAAAATGTCTTGCAACTGGTTTTGGTCCCAAATTGAGGCTGTCATCGTGACGAATGGTGGTTTTATTGAAAAATTATGATCTCCAGGATTAACAATTCTAGAACATATAAAGGATTTAATTAAAAGATCTGTTTTTATTAAGATACAAATTTATAAACAACTCATTCGCAAAAATCCAAATTTACATGTCCCTGCCTGCATCAAAGACAGATATAATACCTAAGTAGCTATTACCTTTCCAAACGGTGGCAGCTCCACGTGTGCGTGGGAAAGATGCTGCCCAGTCGCGGCCGGCGGAGAAGTTTGGAATAGGCCGTGCAGATGCCCGGACGGTGTTTGCGGTCCCTGCCGATCGTGGAGGTCCGAAGTGATTTCCTCGGGCTCCGAGTCATCGGCTTCATAAGCGTTGTGCCGGCCCTGAAGGCCCTGAAGGTTTGGCAGGCCCCCAAAGGACAGCTCCTTCTGTTGCTGTCTTGATTGGCTTTCTGCGAGGTGCGCAAGAAGCGCCCCTCCACCTCCAGCACTACAACTGGCGAGGCCAACACTAGGGATAACTGCAGTTGGACCAGCTGCACCGCCTGGCCTTTGGTTCTCTTTGCCGTTGAGCTGGTCGCTGGGGTCGTGTCGTTGAGAACGCTGCTGGGACGATTGCAGATGCGCAACTGATTGATCTTTTGGAGTGCTGTTGGCGGCCTCTTGCCGGATAAGCTGGAACAGCTGGTTTGGTTGTAGCTGTTGTAACTGCTGCAGGGTGCCGGGCAAATGGCCGAAAGGCCCGACGCCCAAGGTAGATGTACCTTCGATGAGCTCCCCTGCGCGCCCGGCGACGTCCAGGCCTGCGCAGTCAGGATACGCAAGCAACTACGATCAGTTCAGCGAACTAAATGACAATAATCGAGAAACCAGGGAATCATCATGCTAGTGACTCGTAATAAGGAAACATAGTCAAACCTCATGTCAGCTAACGTATACTAATTTTTCCATTTTACTTCATAAAAAAATAAAAAAACTAAACAATAAACAAGTGAGAAAACAATACATTCTAATGTACGTAATATTATTGACATGTTTTCCGCACAATATTGTTTTTGCATCCTATCGACAGCAAGCGTACATGCTATTTATAGTAGTTGAATTTAGGGTCAACTTCATTAGTAAGTTTGGCTGGTTATGATTCATATTTGCATGCTAGATATCATCGATAAAATCAATATATAGTCAAAATAAACGTTCCAGTCTATATAGTACATATGAGTATGTACAGTCAATATAGTATGGGTGCCGACATACACAAGTGTTATAAAACCAACGTGCAAAGAACAATCGCTTAAAGCAAAAATGTGGTAATCAAACCATAGTCCGCATAAAAAATTAAAGTATGGCGTGAGAATCTTAGACATTTTCATGGAGCAGAAGCAAATAGAAATGAAAAGAAAGTAAAACTCTAATTCAGTATTTTGTATGCGCGAAGCTCAGACAAAGCACGAATTCATTGCTTTTGCATAACATAGGTACACATAACATATGCAAGACTTATTAAGCGTTGCTTTTGACTTACAGATTGACACCTCACGGGGTTAGTGGTTAGCTGTTTGTGAAACGGAAAGCAGTCAAAAGAAGAAAGATGTTATTATAATTACTACTAATCAAGTAGTCTATTTGTCCGGTACTTCTACCACAGATATTCCTTTTTTTTTTTTTAAATATCGATCTATTACTAATAAGAGTCACTTCGGGTTAGTCAGTGTATGAATGCCGCCTACAATAACGCTAAACAAACGCGTCATTGAAGCCTCTTTATTCGAAAACTACGTTTGCAACCATAAATCTTACATTTTTTAAAGTGTCATAGTACGACAGAATACCAAAACTTTGTTTGACCGATCAAATGATAAAAGAACGCCTATATTTTAAGACATTTGGCACCGCAAAAAATGTATAGTCCAAGAAGGCGTATTATTGAAAGCCTAGAGACCTGTACATCGCAGCTCCGGTAAAGTTAGTTCATCCGCGAACAAGAAATTTATTGTTGACCATTTTCTACTGCGAGTGCCAGTTCTGATAAAAACATTATTATAACTTCAGCAGCTTTTAGCACCACTATACAGTGCTATGTATAGTTTTTTGCTTAGATACTTGTATGCGCGCATTCAGTCAATGCCATTGGATTCGACCTCTGGAATAGTGTAATGAATGTGCGACAACTAAAACCTTGTTTAAAATATGGTGAACCTCAATTTTTTTCAAATCAAAAATTGATTTCGTTCAACTCACAAAGAGGGATCCATCAAAAATTTTCTATTTGGTGAAAAATGGAAATACACGCAAAAACAAACCAAAGTACATAATTCAAATAAATGATAAAATTAAGATATTTAAATAAGCTAGAGTAGCGAATTTGTTTTAACCCCAATATGTTAACTAAAGCTCGTATTTAAATATCCAACACTATGATACTATAAATCAACCCTATCGTGAGAAGCTTCTCTTCAGTGGTTTGGCAGGCCACTCCGCTATCTTGCAGTTTTTAAAGATAAAACCTAACTATATCAGTTTATATTGGATTGTCGAAAAGTACTGCCCGTTTCTCTAGGTAAATGGCTTTGAAGTTGCATATCCGAGATATTATGGGTCACATCCAGTCGCTGTCATTAGAAAACTGACGTTTAACAAATGGTGGCATGCCTTTGATCATACTTAAGATAGAGTGAAATTTCTGCTGAAATTCGCTATATTTTGTAATTTTATTACGATAAAGGCACAAACCCTACTCAGGCCCATAAAGAATGTACGGTGTTTATGGTTCAGGCGTATTATTGAAAGAAATGGCCTAAAACTAGTACTGTCATTCTCGTTTCACAAATTTAGAAATGGGAGGTGCTCTTCGTAGTGGTCGACACATTACGAAAAAAACTACTAAAGTTATTACGACGGTTGAACAGGATCGATGGCTGACATTACCAACGAGCTAGGCATTCATCACTGAATAGCTTTAAATCACTCTAAGGAAGCTGGCTACAAAAGGAAGGTTCGGTCGCATGGATTGGTGCGAAAGAATTTACTTGATCGTGTTTCTATTTTCGAAACTCAGCGCTACGAAGTTGAATTATTTCTAAAGCGGTTGATCACAGGTAATAAAAAAACAGGTTACACACAACAATAATATGTAAATAAAAAATAAAAAGTTATGTACTTTACGATCTGTTATAAAGCCTAGACTGAAGCGAAAGAAGGTGATAATTTACGTTTAGTAAAATTGGAAACAAATCGAGCATTATGAGCTGTTGTCACCTGGCAAAACGATTGATTCGTATTTTTGCTGTCAACAATTAACTGGTCATCGATTTGACCGAAGCTAGTAAACAGAAAAGACCTAGTCTTCCACCATGACAATTCCAAACTACATATACCTCTATCTACCTTGCAAACATAGAGAGAACTTGAATGGTAGTTTCATTACGTTCACCGTATAGCGCAGACTAGACCTGGATTCTGCATCACTAAATTATCATCTGTACTGGTCTTTACAGAAGTCCCTAAATAGTGTTAATTTAGTTTCAAAAGAAGGATGCAAAAATCATAATAGTTTTTTATCATAAAATCATAAAAGCTTTTTAGTGATGGGATTATGGTACCATCAGAAAAATCGCAGAAGGTCATTGATTAAAATGGCACATACTTAGTTTAGTAATATTATTTTATGTGGTAGAACAATTGTTTAATTTTGGCTTAAAAACGGTCAGTATATTACGGCAACACAATATATCGGCCCAATTTAAACAGGCTCCTCCTGCTTATTTTAAATTAAATTATTATATCTTTAAGTGCAATGAGAATGTCTGGCTATTTATACAACTGTCATCCAAAATGATTATAAGTATTTTTAACTAATGCTCATTATTTCGTGATCAAGATCAAATTACTACAAATATAAACTGAAATGCATTGATCTAGATGAATATTGCGCGCCGGCATAAAATGTTTACTATATATCACATACGTAAAATTAAATGACCAATTTCTGCCTGTTTGATTAGCCGACTCGCTGGATTACTGCAGAAATTTCGACATCATACAGAGATTCAAGCATCGTAGGGCTTTTTCTATCTTATTAAATCTATACCAATTCGCTAGAAACCTGAGCTATACTAAAACGGATACGTTTGTTGTTTAAGATTTTGCAAAGGAAAGAAAGTCGGAAATCAGACTGAATACGTATAAATCATATACACACACAGGTATACATATACGACACAGAGTGTGTGAAACAACGCTTGGGGTAACATGTACAAACAACGTTTAGCATTAAACGAATCGCTGGAAAAAACGTAACGAAGAAAAAATGAATGGACACATACACAGTCAGTCATTTTTTAGTACAAGCCTGATGTGGAAATTATCTATCAATGGCGGGATTACATGAAGATCGCTGCACTGTTCCTCGGCCGCTCATATATCATGTAGAAATTGTGTTTTTTCATGGAGCAGATGACAGGATAGCTTTAAAATGAGTTCTTAGTCGCACCAAGTATATACATACAGCTACCTATATTTAGTATCTACTAAAACAATATAGCCAGTATTTCATAGAGACCTTTCGAACCGGCCATTCGAGCGGCTGCCGTTAAACGGGAAACGACTTCAAGACGTCTGGTCAGGGTGAAACTAGCATGTTAGTCAGCCAGTGTCTAAACTGTAAAGCTGGTAAGCGTTACTTGCCAGGGTGGTACGGCTCCACCCGACGCCACCTTCCCTCCAAGGCAACCATTACGCTGGGCAGGTAGATAGGCAGGCAACACGGGTGGCGGTTTGCCATGGCTGTCAGATGATGTTCATCGCAACTGCCATCAAGCCGTGCGTTGCTCGGCTTGCAAGCATCTTGCAAGCACACGTAAGTCTCCGCCGGTCGGCATCGAGCCCGCATGGCTATGCAGGGGCGGCGAATGCGGGGTACCAGCCGGTTCCCTCGATGTAACTCGGGGGCGACCCCCGAAGCCGACCCCGACTGGGTCACACCCCACGCAGAGTCCCCACAAAACCCCGACCCGTTGTCGTCTCAGCTGCCCGACTGTGGTCGACTGAACTTCGCCATCAGCTGACTAGGCTAGCCGACATCGAATGAGGCCGGAGAACGTCGATAACGGTCAAAATGTAAACGGGAATACTGCTAAGTATAGCGAAAGCAAAACACTCATAGGGCTATATGACTATAGCTGAGCAACCGGCTGTACACTGCTGGTAGCATAGCACTCAGGGGCGCTAGGCCTAGGGGGGCACCCCTTCGAGGGGAAGCCCCTATTCGCGCCGGTAGCCGCCCAAACAACAAGCGACGCGTCGCGCGCGTTGCGTATTCACTAACGACACCTACCTGGAAAGGCCGACGGCGCCATAACGAAGGCGGACGTACTCACGAGCTGATCTTCCGTGGAGCCCATCGTAGCCCTACTCACTCGACCCCCACACTCCGAGTCCACCGCTCCCCCAGCCAAGCCCGCACCCCCGGACAGCTCACTATGGCGGGAAACTCGCCAGTGGCGGCGGGTTGTCTGCGTCATCTAGCCCGCTACGCGGGCTTTTTTGAATAATGATTTGGCGCGAATCCTAAATCTTCGCAGCGAGCCTATTATTCTAGAAAATAAAAAAAATATATAATTTTTCAACAAAAACGATTTCGCAAGTAATAACTCTTAAGGATAATACAGCACCAATGGTCGTAAATAGTAAAATGTAACACAAAATGAATAAAACTGGTTTGCGAATGTACAGGTTGGCGACTTATGTTTGGGGGTAGTGGCGAGTTATGCTGTCAGTGGGAGGGTTGAGGGGGAGCGAAGGGGACGCCAATTATAAGGAGGCCGAGAGAGGGGGAGCTGGGTGCCCCGTCAACCTTAGCTGGCCTTCTCAGCAGCCATCCTCCAACAGCCTGCAGCAGCCAACAGCCAGCAGCTGTCCCAGCCCAGTCCAGGGAGGACCAGGGACGTCGGGCTTGGGATGACTAACCCCTCGGAAGAGAGGGAGGGGAAACTCCCTATAGACGCCGCTAGGGCCGCCATTGCCGTTACCGCTATAGCAGCAGAGCAGCGGCGGCAGCGGCAGCAGGAAACGCGTATAGAAGTAAGCTAAAGCCACAGCAGCTGAAAAAGAAGGAGCATCGCTGGCAGTAACGGCTGCAGCAGCAGCAGCAGCAGCAGCAGCTAGGGTTTGCTAGTGACGGCAGTAGTAGCAGCAGCAAATTACCAGGGACTATCCCCGGCAGCTCCCGAGCCACATTGGGGATAGTCTCTGGAATCACCTTTTATAAGGGGTACCCGGGCCAAAACTCCCTGCCCGTCTGCTGTACGGGATTGGGATATGTTACTCCCAAGGAAGCTGCAAGCTCGAGCTAAGGGGCCTAGCACAATATACCCGATACTTTGTTCGTACTCCGTTTCACGAAAATATTTCATCATAGAGAAGCGGTATTTGTTGGAAACAGTTCTTAGACTGTTGTATAAAATGTTGCCTGTTTTGACTTAAGCTATTCGTTATATCTTAAAAATAACATACAAATTACGCGAACAAAAAACTTTAAAGCATATTTGCTACTAGACTGAAGGTAATCTAGTTTTGAGCTGGTGCGTAATGTCGCGCATACAGTTAGCGATACACGTATGAAATATGGTCCAAAAGTTTTAGGAAACAAGTCTTTGTCGAGCAATGCCATCATTAAGCTTATTGCAAACAACAAACTGTGACTTACTGTGAACAGGGGTAATAAAAATCTACGGATTGTCATCAATATCCAGCAACGATGCTTTTGCCGCCATGTGAGCCATATTACTACCAAGCAAGTCGGATGTCAAAATTCGATCTCTGGCTTTACTAAGCGCAATACTCTCCTTAATTAAATCTTATTCTTTTCTACTTTACCACGTTCCACCATCCACAATTAGCAGCAATTACCCTTGAGAAACGCTAACAAACAGCAGCATAATGCAGTATTCTGGTAGGCTTGTTCTGAAGCTAATTCCCATTGTAAATAAACGACTCGCATAAACATCGCATATAGTAGAGTTCATGGCACGAAAGTGATAATGTTAATATACTACGGAGTACTAAGTGATTACATCCCGTTCTATATACATATATATATATATATATACATATATATATATATATATATATCTGTCAAAAAAGTTTTGAATGGTCAAGAAATTTCGCTTCACCTGGAATATGGAACCCCAAGAGCCACTTAAACCTTTTCGACTCATCTGTTTGTTTTATCTATCGCAGCCATATTCGAGAGAGCTGCTCACGTTTTCTTTGAATTGCATTGGGTAAACTTATTTGGTTATCATCATTATGCCTCACAAATTTCTAAGCGCGCTGCATTTCATTACGACTCTTTTCATTTTCATTAGAATTTGATTTCACTGAAATAGTTGGATTAGATGGACTTTTGATGCCCCAGCCCACATTAAGGATAATATTAGCTCAATTAAATATAAAACACATTAGTTTACACGAAGTATTTTTTTCAAGCAAGTGCCTTTATTTCGTCGTCTTAAATGACCTGCATCATTTATATACTGGTGAATGCGCCGGCCATCGATGTCTGCGTAAGTAAAAAGAACAAACATTCTTTATGTATCTAAATATAAAAAAGCATATCGCTACAATGAGACTACAACAAGAAGACAACAAAGTTTTCCAAGACTGCATCGGCGAGCGGTGTCTATGGTCTTGCACGACACTGACAAACTGTCAAGGTATCAACTGTACAAACCTCGAACCCGGATTGAAGCACCCCTTTCTCAGGTTCTACACAAGAGAGAAGAGGCGGTAGAAGGGATATACATGTAAACCCATCCATAGAAATTTGCTATCATTCCTAAAATCACAAATCCAAAGCAGATAAGACCTCTTATTCAAGCAATCAGCAACATTTGAAAATAAAACGTATTTGTCTACGTGGTAGTCTTCTGAATTGACTCATCTCGCTTCGCTACATTTTGACACTTATTTACGGTGCATTTTCAGACTATGTATGATTACTGAAGTACTAGGTATGTTTTCAGTATTTTAGAAAATCATGTTGAATTATATGTATGCTGGGAAATAAATATTAGTTTGTTGAAACAGCCGAATACCGAGCCTGTTCTTACTAATGGCAGATGCTCGACTTTTTACCGGTCGTACCCAAAAATCTGAATCCTTAGGCAAAAAGCTCAAGCACCTAGTCTCTAACTAAATTTTAGTTGGTGTCTTTATTTATCTTTAAAAAACACAAACTAGTTTTAAAATCGAACGGTAATATGGAAGTTTCTATATGAATACGATCGAGGATTACATTTATTGTTTGAACAATCTGTAAAATTTTGGCTTTCAATCAGCGCGAAACGTACACATAAGCAGCAAGGCACTGCGTTGATTTCGGGCTTTCAGCCCATACTTATCTATATAATTTTTGCGCATAAAAATTTGTCCAATGTAGGTGAACGCAGAAAAAACTTTGACCTCTTTTTAAACAATACTAAATTATATTATTTTTCAATATGACTGAAGATATGTGTGTCTTCTTTTTTGCTGAATTAGATATATATGCATATACATATATGCAAGAGGTAATTATATAGATTTTATCATAATGGGAGTTATCTAATTTATAGCGTTTTATTGATTTAGAGCTAAATAAAATAAAAATGTATAATGAAACATTCGTCCAAAATACTGGAGATGCCGGGGATTGAACCCGGGGCCTTTCACATGCAAAGCGAACGCTCTACCACTGAGCTACATCCCCTTGAGTTGCACATATTCGGGCAAAATCTGTTAGCTTATTTAAAATTGTAGCAAAATGTATCAAATCAATATTCATTTCTATATTCGAATAGTAAAGCCGGATATAGGAAGCAAGCTTGCCAACTGATAACAAGCTCAATTGCAGAAACTGCTTCTCTCGTATTGTTGGAGGTACTTCTGCTTATTACAAATGATTGTAGTCATAGTTGCGACAGCAGTAGCAGCAACAAAAAAAAAATACCGAAACTCTCTTCCTGACATTCGCACCTTGCATCAGTTGTACGTATAATAGTATACAACAAGCGTTCATGTACGTTACGCCTCAAACAACTTCATAATATCCCGACATGTTTTCAAGAGGCCACACAGTATTACTATATGACTTTAAGAAGATGTACGATAAAATTGCCGTCCATAAACTTCTGCTGCGTAATGATAAAAAAACGCACAGATTTTGCCGTTACAATTTTTTTTGTGTCGCACCGTTGTTGATTATTCTAGGCCGCCCCCAATCACAGCTGCGAGTGGAGAGGGCGAGCGCAGTGCTCTGCTCTAATCTAGCAATAACAATAACAGCGCCAGTCGTAGTTGTAACAAATGAATTTCGCGATAAAAAACTTATAAAAACTTCAATTTTTCGTAAGTTTCAGGTCAAAATCCCACAAGCGCTTTCTGCTAATCTGATTGTACTATAATTGCAGTGCAATCAGATTGGCCGTGCAAAGCTACAAGGTAACACGTACGTTGTGGACATATTGATCTTTTAGCTAGACGGCTAAAGCGGCTGCTGCTGATCTCTGCGAGGAGGCGCTGGGCGAGGAGACATCTGCACGGCTCCAGCAACCAAGAGGACAGCGCTGGCGGTAACAATCATTAACTGGCCTGTGTAGGCGCGCGTGCGGTTTCTATCGTATCTAGGCTAAATAGAATCTTAAGCTGCTGAACGATGCAGTGTCGCCACTTGTTTCACATAGTCGAAATGCTGGCGTCTGTCGGATACCCGGAGCGCCTCCGAGCGATAATGTGTTAAGCGTGCAGTGACCAATGAGTGGCGTTCTACAGTTTTTCTCAAGCTGGAGTTCGAAGTTGCTTGTGACATCTTCTTCTGGTGTTAAACCTGTCATAAATCCATAAGTTCTGCTTTGTTGAGCCCTCGCTATAAAACTAGGTAGCTACGGAAAGACAAAATAATGTTTTCTATTTTTTCTTTAATAACAAATTCGCCTTGATTTAATAACTCGGCATTGTGATGCTATACAAGCAAATCGGGATTCCACGACCCGCACGCAATATTATGGATGTGTAGCTAACGCCAGCGCCTTCGAGTAGAATCAAAGTCCATGTATATAATCAAAGTGCCCATATATAATGTGCATGAATATTTCAATGAGAAATATACTTCTTTGTCCCGTAAAAATCACCACTTAATCCGCTGTCATGAAAATATAATCGACTGGTTCGATTCGCGTGAGGTTTTTCAAAATGTGTTTAATTATCCTTAATGAATAATTGGACACAATTTTTTTACGTTGTGCAGTCTACGACGTAGCGCTTGTGTAACATTGGCTTTGTAGATAAAAGCGCATATCATAAGTTTGCACTCGGATAAATCTTTATAAGAAAAAATGTTGGTCCTGTGTTAGGACTTGTAGAATTTACTTAGTTACGCACATTCACATTGATTGATACAGACTCTTTTTTTGACATCTTCAAAACCTCGCTTCTATTTTCAAGCAGCTTGTAAACTGATTCAGATTCCGGAACAACCAGTAATGCTAACTGCCGTACGGTATCAGTCGCAAGTTCCGTCGGTCCAGTCGCTCGAAAAGATTAGTTAATAGGTAAAGTGAACTGTTCATGCTGCATATTCGTTTTTCGTAAAGATTATTTATTCTATTTTTCCTCTAAATAAAGCTTTATGGAGCGAAACAAAAAGATTCGAAATGAGTTATGAAGCACCTTAGCAAAATATATCCTTAGAAAGTACCTAGTTTATTCGTAATATTATGGTATTGTTCAGGTTTTACTTGCTCAAATATTAAGTACGATACGTAAGCATCTTGTATCGTAGGAAAAATGTCCTCAAGTACGAATCACTATGCTGCGCTGGTATTATTTATTGAAAACAGTTAATTGGCGACAAATATTATAATCTTAGATAAGCCCAACGTGAAATGAACTCGCGTATTTGGTTTACAGATGCCAGAGTATTTCCGGGACGGAGTGTGTTCATTACACAGACGTTTCATTCGATCACTAAACGACTCAATCGTATGTGTCTTTTACAGATCGTTCACCTTTATAGCCGATAATGCGAGAATCTAGACTCTAGTTTAATTGTATTAAAATGTATCACATTCGAAACGATAGATGCTCGGAACGATTGTTTCAAATACATTAACGAAGATAACTGAATCATTTACATCTATTGCAAACAGAGGCAAAATGGCATCTCCAACCCGTCCGTATGGCGTCCGCTTCGTTCCCGAAATGCCTAAAAATTCTCCCATGGAGTTGGGTCTTTCGTTGGCGTACGCGTCCTCGTTTGACGGCATCCATACGATGATTCAACTCGTACGTCTACTTACCTATATGTATTTATTAATTATACACTGCTGGCATTAATTTATACTTATTTACGTAAACAAACCATGCTGTGAATTAAGGTCGCATAGCGTGTAAGGCATAAAAATTTTAATTTGAGTTTTTCCACTCGGGGATTCGGATATGATTTGTTTATCTATTTATATTTTGTGTAAGTACTTCAAGTAAAGCCTCTATGCTAGGCCGTGATACATAGGCACGTACCGATAGGATATGTTTGGCGTTTTACCAATGGCACATCGATGATAAAGTAAAGAATGTTACGTAGACATTACAATTCGTTAGTACAGGTGATGAGAATTGATTTTCTAGAAGTCGATATCTAGACGATATTTCATTAAGTAATATTTTTTTATGTGGCTCACGCTACAGTTTCATTGAAATTTGAAAGAACAGCTTCAAATAAGCAATTATAAGGACACGTGCGATGTGATACTGTACTTCGCCAAGGTTTTAGCCACATCGCTCTTGAAACGAGTAAATTAATCGAAAAGTAATAACATCGCACATTTTGGGTAACACTGCTGGATACAAATGGCGATCATGAGTTTATAGATAGACTGTTTTGGAAACAAGAAGACACTCGTACATGTTAATTATTAATCAGTAAAGGCTAAATCCTTTTCGAAATCATTAAAGGTAATATCGTTTGGGTCGCCTATCCAGTATTCAAATCACCTGTTTTTCTATGCAGGTTTGCTGCAGATGCTGCCATATTTAGAATCTTTATTGATATATGTAAATAATAAGGTCATAATCTGTTGTTGGTTGAAATACGTTTTACACGTGTGCATGTTTGTGTAAACTAGCCGTTGTTCCTTCATGAGATCATCCATATCAAAAAGAAATATATCAAGTCCGATCCAAGCTTAATTAAGACGAAATGCAGACGAAATTCATAAAACACGTATTCCACACCCGTCTTGAAGCTTCCATTGAAGCTAATTCCATTTTGCAAACTAGACAAAATTTCTATTTTTTCTTTAAGGTAGCGGATGGATAGCATGAATGCTACTCAAATAAAGTATAAAAATCCCTTACGTTGACTAATTCGTATCGCATTTCTGTGTCCTCTGTGTTGTTCGTGTAATATGCGCGTCGATGACAGGTGTGTTCGCTTTGTGCGTTCGTGACAGCCGTCAGCTCGCGGACTCATATTTACACGCTTACTGAACTAACCGTCTACGTGGCTCCCAAGCCAACACCCATATTTGTAATTGCCTCGATGTTCTGCCTTTTCTATGTTGACTTACTTATCGTTGCAGGAGCTACACTGTCTAATTTTGATGCCGAAAGCCTTCAGTCATCGCTTTTTGTAAGTAACGTTTTCTGTCTACTATAAGAGTAAGCTAGCATAGATCCTTGGGACCTCTAAACGAACAGTGAGTACCAATTTAGGTGCAAGTCAATTTAATAACTTTTATTATTATGTTGATTCCATAGTGCCATTTCTCGTTTCGTAAATGAATAAATGGCTTTGATTTATGATAACTCTGCGTCAGTATAGCACCTGTTTTTAGCCATTGATGTGTTATTAGTAATTTGACGTTAAGGTCCGTGCTGTATATTTTTCAGTACCTAATGGCGGCAACCTCTGGGGCTATCTTTAGCACCTGCGCCTCGGTAGCCTTTTTCGTGGAGGCAGAAAACAGTATCGACTATGCGCTTGGAGTAAGTTAACCAAAAAGGCACCTACTCCTACTAAATCTTTTAGATTGTACTATTAGGAGCGTTACACATTGTCGCTTTTGAGTATACGAAGCTTAAATTTGCAAGTACAAAAAAAAAAACATTTGCAAACTGAAGTGACTGCAGCAGCTGACCAGCTAATTGAACAATCGATACCTGTTATAGTTAAAGCTGTAGAAACCATTGATTAATGTCACATCCTACCGTTTCGTAGTTTGTGAAATTTTTGAATTAACAAAACCAGATATTCATTCGTAAATAAGGCGTATCTCTGCCTAATCTTCTGCATGCATGACGCTCAGAAAAGGTCATATATGCTCCGCAGATGCGTCATTTCCATTTTCTTTATTGCCATCTAGAACTTCTATTCAATCCTGGATATTACTGCAGGCATGAAAAAGGGTCAGTCAACTAATAGTACGAAGCACGCTTGTTTTCTATTTTCGGATATTCGGTTTAGATGCAGTCATTTTTATTTCAAATCGCGCAGGATGACTGCCGCAAAGTGACCAACTGCATTCCGAACAGAGACCTCCGTGTTTGTTCTATCACGGATAATCTCCTCAAGCGGAGTCTCACGGCTAGGCTCGTCTCCACCCTGAATCCTGCGACCGGACCCAACGTATGTCCGCCTAACGTGATTTAAAATGATCTCTGGTGGCCTTGAAAGTGGCCTTGGGCGTAAAGTCGTACTTGACTCTTACGCTGACTGATTTCTGTGCAGGCTTTTCCTTTTTTCCTCTGTTGCTTCTTGTGCGTGGTTTTGCCCCTATTCTGACCATGACCTAGGTGTGGTAATCGATCAGCCGCGAACAGGTTTTAACCATGTGTCTTAATGATACACCGTCAATTTTTTCCGGATGTGTGTATCTAGCGCTCCTCCTTCTTTGCTTTTTTTCGTAACTTCTTCAAAGATGTGCAAGAACCTAACGGCAGATTTTTTAGCAACCACTACGTCTAGCATTGAGGACCCAATCGTCGTTGACATTTAACCGGGTGAGCAATGAGCTCCATCTTACATTACTTCAACAGCGTCGTTTCTCTGCTAATTAACAATCCTATCAATAGGCTTATCACAACTATTGCAGAGGGATACTGCATTGTAAGAGGAAGATATTTTTCTCAGCCATTTGCGATCAGCATGGTCTTGGTCTTTTGTGAAAAATTTATTTTCAGAAAACTTAATTTGATGCTTAAACGAACCACTGTATTTCATGTAACTATTACGGCCATTGACTCTACCGCCTTTGCATTATCAAGAGCGGCCTCTTTCTTGTCTTTATTCTTCCCCCTAAGTTTTGCTTGTCGTCCACTGTCTCATTGACTACAGTATCTGGTACAGGCGGTAAGTTTCTGAGTGCTGAAGGGAGAAGTCATAGGAGCCTCGTCTAAGTTTTTCTTCAGCTTGTTTTTCTCTGCTGTGATTGTCTTCGTGCGCCTACAGGGCTTATCTAATTTTATAGTCTAATAATAAATGCTACTAGAAGTAGTGGTTTTTCTGCTAAATTTACATATCCACCGCTTCTTGTTTGGAGTTTTCTTCCTCTAGTCTGTAAAACCCCGTCTCTAACCTCGTGAACTAACTCAACTTCGAATTGTCTTCGCATACTGCTGTATTGTTTTTTCAACTCCTTCATTGAATCAGTTAGTTTGACGTAGCAATATTCTTAGCTAGCTAGGTGTTCGATATTTATCTTTTTCATACCCTTTTTTGCCCGTCTGTTATTTGTGACAGATGCAGGTGCAATTTGAAGCTGGTGCGAGTCTTAAGAGACTATGCAGTACGTTTTCGTGCCTGATTCTATGTTGTCAGTCTATTCTGTATTCATATTATATAATAATGGGTTCTATTCTGTCACGTGAATATGTTCCACTTTGCTATATCTTCCGTTCCCTGATTCCTTTCTCTCCCCAGCTTTTGCCCGTCTTCAACTAGTGTAGTGCCTGAAAGAAGTATAAGCCCATTTGCTATACTTTTCTATTATTTCCATCTTTTTCTCCTACCATCCCAGGGCACGTTTTCCACACCTGTGTATTCTCGAGTTACTTCGAGGAATAGCTCTTAAAGCATTGCGTTTGAAAAGGTCAATTCTTTTACAGGCGAGCTTCACCTCCTTTGGTGCCTCTTATAGTTTACGTATCTTACGCTAATTATATTGAATAGTTTTTCAAGCTTTCGTCGTTGCTGCTGAACGACTATTGTGTGAGATGCATTGCCTCCACTTGAATGTTTAAGGGTGCTCACATGGATGCTAAAAGCAAATCGTAAAATGCGACGTCTGCGATATCGGAACAGCCCTACGAAGCATTATAACTCGGATTTATTTTTAAAGATCTGAGTACTGCAGTATGTTGCCTATGTATCCTACAGGAGTATTCGCCATTTTGGAGACGCGTAATTTTTAAAACGGTATTTTTTTCTTTGATCATCCTTATTTAGTAATTAATCCCTTATATATTTTTAAAGATCAAATGATTGAGGGGTTAATTCGCTAGTAGTACATGTTACTTCGTTCAGCCTGTAACAACAATAGTCCTTTGTTGCAGGTCGTTGTCTGCGAAAAAATCTATATTGCATGGCTATATCAATTGGGGCAGCGTTTCAAGTAGACAGCAGAGGTAACCTCTAATTATTTCAGTTACCGGTAGAAAGTTTACATGTCCAGTTTGTCTTATTATAAGAAAGCTCCATGGAAGGAATATTGTTGGCAGTTATATCTTTTTGAAAACATTTATCCTGTCGATTTTTATAGACAATATTTTGACATAATCTAACATCGAGTTTTAAGTTAAGAGTTTAGCAGACAATTCAACTAAGTTTTACTTAATGTTTGCTTCAGTTTTCAATATATATATATATATATATAAATAGACATATATATAGTAATGGGTTTTTTGTTGCTTCTGTGTGTAGATCAGATTTGCTAACAACTCGTTATAGTGAAAATAGCCTGTCCGAAGAAAACGGGACACATTTGAAAATGTATATAGACCCATATCTCAAGTAGTGATTACCATCTTCTCAAGGTGTTAACCTACTGTGCTGAGCATAGAAGTAGGCTGTGACATCGACTGTTACCTTTTTATTCACAGCCTTCCTTTAATGTAATCCCGAACTGAAACAGTGCTTACTAAATAATAATTATCTCCAATTTTTCCAGGGTCTCTGTTGCGTTTGTGGCCTAGTGTACGCTGTTCGCTCCATATTGATCATCATTAAGAGCTGCCGAAATAGATAAGCGAGAGGATAATAATAATACTAATAACAGTGCTTTCCTGATTCTGCCTGCTTTAAATATCTCTCCTCAGCAATCATTGTCAACCTAGTCAATGTAAGCATTATCTCTTAAAAAAATCGTTTTCTTGCAAGGAGAAAGGTTCAGACAGTCAGTAAACTCTTCATTAACTCCTAACGATTGCCTTTCGATTATACGTTTTTATATACATTATATAAAATATGTTTATTCAACATAAGGCTGTACAGGTCTTCTAGTGTAAAGCCTCTAAGTATCGCCTGTGAATCCGAAATGGGATCATTTTTATAAGCTGTTAAACTATACGAGTTGTCACTTGTAGTAGGTCACTGCACGCATGAAATACGTAAGTGAAAATTAACCTCCACAAGGTGTAATCGACTCTTTGCTTACCGAGTCTTTTCTAAGACTACAAAAAAACAAATGTTTTTACAGTATTTTTGCGTTTGCTAAGTGTCATCCGTTTAACCTTGGCTACGATCTTAATTCACTTCCTAAACGGTTCACAGGTTTATTTTAAAAAAAAACTCCTTTCACAATTGTCTTTTTGAGAGTATGAGTGAGCGGGTCGACATTGTCGTCTCGGGACCTGGTGGAGTCTCGCTCTCCAAAGGATTCAAATCTAGGCTTTTCGGTTATTTTTTCGGTGTGGTTAAATAGAACAAACGTAGATTAGCAAATAGCCAAAGCTAAATTAATCGGTTCGTAAGATTCGGTGCTACAAGACATTTGACCTTGCATTCTTCGAGTATTTCTTTTTTGTTTGATTTTAGTGTATTACTTTTAATTTGTCTACAGATAAATTTATTTTCCTAATGGTATTGCCTTTACGTAAAGATTATGGTCGTATGAAGTATCAGAATCTGAATTTTTGTCAGAGATTTAGCTTCACATCATCTGGATCGTGACCGGTCGCTTCTGCGAATCGATATTTGTGGTGATGCTGAGCGGTTGGTTGTCAAAGAAGGTGATCTGCTTTACGTGTACCTGAAATCTTTGTCATCAATCTATAACATCTTAGGCACACTCACATGAAATCAAGTATCTAATCGAAACGTTAACAGTCGATAAACCTTGTTTACTCTAAATTGTTCGTTTATTCAACTTATTTCTGCAAAATACAATCATTTGCTATGCGGTGCGTTATCGATTAGGAGAGAAACTGAAGAAGCTCATTGTTTTATTGGTGCTTCATGTAATCCTTTCTTAGTTAGTTTACGTCCTCTTTAAAACGGCTTAGCTCTAATAGTATTGGTTTCGGATGAACGCGTCTGTGATACCGCGAAGTACCAATTCCACTTTAAGTCTAGCACTCTGCATATATTGTAGCTTGTATCTTTACAAGCATTTAATATTTTACTGAAAAAAATATGACAATTAATATTGTGTACAATGGTTTGCTGTGATTTTTTTAAGAATAACTAATAATATAAACAAGATCATCTACAATTTAAAGCTACGTACCTTTTTGGTTGAGCTAAACTGAGATTCTGCTGTATTATCCGTAACAGAGGCCGGCCATGAGGCGGGTTTGGTTCCGCAACAAATTTAAACTGCAGATTGCGCCGTAGGTACGTTACTCTCCTCAGAGCACATTCGCGTTACATACATATTATATGTAATGATTTAACTGAATATGTAAAAGGCTTGTCATAGATTTTTTCAGCATTTTATATATATATATATATATATATATAGTGCGCGAAGTGAAGTACTCAACATCCAGTAGATCCTTACCCTATTCAACGGAAATCGATTAGAAGCGTTATCATTTATATCGATTACAGACAGTGATAAAATGTGTCCTCAAACAAATGACCGTGACGAGCTAGACCTTGATTACTTTGTAAAGAGGTAGAAATCTAAACGGATGAGCTATGTATATGGCTATGGTTTGACTGAGAAAAACGTAGGTTTCGCACTTTTTCGATGGAAATATAAAGTGTCAACCAATGTGTACTGTGAAGTAAATGTGGTACAATAACTATCGCAATACTCACTGATTGTGACAGATGCGTAGAGAAAAAATCAGACATATAGATCACAGTTTGGAAAATTAAATTTTATATATATGTAATATATATGTATATCTTTATATATAGGTAATGTCTCTTGATAAGTATGTTGCGATCGTGTTTCCTAATGAAACCAAAACTATTCTGCTCAGATCGAATTTTGAGCTATCATATAACATATAATGAAACATATAAAGAACATAAACAAGTGAAGATAGATTATGTATAGCTATATTTAAGCCTATTAAATCATTGTATACTTAGCATTCGCATTATTATACCTAACTTTTTTTTAGCTAACGCTTCTTGGAGCAGATGTGTGCTAGCATAATGCACATTACCAACCGCCTGTTCCTTACATGAACGTTACATGAAAGAGTGATTGCTTAAAAAAGCTTATAATTTTTCTCAAGATAATGCTACATTCACTCTAATATTACGCAATTAACACTGCATTTTCCTTTATAATCGCTAATGATGTTTGCAGCAAAAGGATCTTTAATATACGTAAACGCTTGCGTGATTTTCGACGCAGAAATTTTCCTTAGGTTTTTTCTGTAATGGCGGCATCTGACGCCCCACTTGCAACCAGCTACAAAATGTATAACGCGTTTTACGAACTTCCTGGTCCTCCTTGGTAATATCTGGCATCTAGAGGCATATAGTTTGTAGCTATATTTGGTGAATATTATCGAGATGAAAGCTGGGTATATGTGGTCCCGAATTTATCAATAGAGTTATTACTGAATGTAAAAATACTGGACGAAGACACCTTAAAAACAACACATATCTCTACACGAAAGAAATCCTAGTGGTGCTTGCGTGACTTCCTTGATATTTCTCTTACGATTCTAATAATACTTCGTCATCTTGGGCATATATGCTACACCATACGTGTGATGGAATGAAGGAGATTAAATGTTGGATATTGGGTACGGGGAATCTCGTGTAAAAGAGGATATTAGCTTATGCTGCGATTTTGAATTTCTATGATAGTGCGTTGAGTTTTTTTGTACGAAAAAGATCTACTTCACGTTTTATCTTTGAGATTCGTCATGAGTTTGACTGTCACTTACATTCGTGTGAAGACAAATGGGGATGTATTTTAATAATTTCAACTTTGTGATCCTTAGGCAACGATGTGTTTTCCTCGTATATGCGCGCATAATGGTGAACTTAAATGCAAATTTGGAGTTGTATGTTTTCGTATTTAACCAAGTTCTAGCAAATGACTTTAGTGGAAATCGCAAAGAGTTCCACGTTTCGTAAGAACGTGAGACTCGTTGCGGGGCAAGTAGGTCTTCCAACTAATTGACGTTGTGAATTTAATCAAGCTATATTGCCAGATGTTAGTGTCCACTGAACGGATTTTAAATCAAATCTATGAGTTTTCTCTAAAATATATACACAGGTATTTCAAACTGAAATTAAAATAAGTTTTCAAGTTAAGGTTAAAATAAGTATTCAAAATGATTATCTTTGTGTCTTGCTCTATTTTGGATCCAAAGTTCAAGTTGTTTTGGGGCGCACGGAGCACGCGAGCAAAACGTCCTCCTTCGCATTTTTTTCTGAAACTTAAAATAACTAAGTAATCCAGATATATAAGAAACAAACGCTTTAGATGACGCCTGCATTAAGCGTGGAATGTTTTTTAAATATGTTACATGGTTAAGTCCGCTTTGTGTTTTGCCGATCGAGGAACTAGTCAAAAACATTTTAAACTTTGTCTATGCAAATATAATTTCTATTTATTTTCATTAATTTTTTCAGCAATAAGGCGCCCGTGAACCACACCGGCCGCATACGTTTCTTTCTATACGTATATGTATATATACGTATATAGATTTTTCTTTCGTTAGAATATCGGCATTCCCACTGGCATTGGCATAGGCACTCCAACTGGACCTGAAATTTAAATAATCATAAAGACAGATATGCTTTGACTGACAGGTTTACAAAATCACTGCATAATTAATAACGCTGACTATATGTAGACCGACTATAAGGCTGACGCTGATATTTTATGGTACAGCTAATAGAATTCCTGAACATAGAAAATCTGCATGCAGGATTGCAGATATACGCAAATGAATAACGGTTTTTTAAGGGCTTTTATACCGCAAAGCTACTTCTTCCAGGACTATCTTAATTGCTTTTAGTCCGCCTCCATATCAACCGAGCACTTTATCAACCTGCATTGTTTCTGAACAGCTTGTATATACTTACCGTTAACGGAGTTTCAATATTTCCTACTATCATGAAATGGTGAGCCCATTGTTAATTAAACTGTAGTCGCCTTTATGTTCTTCGAAGTCAAAATGTGGCACGTCGCTTCCTAGAAGCTAGATGGTCCATGTACAATATTAACTGTGCATTTTTCTAAATGTATCCCATATTGTTCACAGACGATAACCAAGGCATATTTGAAGCAAAAGCGCAATTTCGTAAACTCTATTAAGAAACTCAAGCCTATTTGTAAATACCGTCTTGGTCATTCTGCCTTCTACATTATTGTTTTACGTTTTCGAGCTATGTTTTCTTTTTTCCCCCCAACCTATGTCTGCCGTAGATTTGTTAAAGGGGTAGGTAGACAAAATAAGCCGCTCATTACAATCTTGTTTATTGGTAAAGGCTTCAAGTAGGGATATGTAGGGGTATTTTGCAATAATGCATTACAAAGAGATGAAAGATTTTTATTAGAAAAAATATAGTTCACGAGATGGAAGTGAACCCAGTGAACTTTACAGAGTCCCTGATCTCTGTTAGCAATCAGCGGCAACCGAAGCAATGAACGTTGTTTGAACATTAGTTTCAGAACATTAAAATTAGCGATTGTAATAGCAAAAGCGAGCCAATAATCTACACAACGCTCATCGTAGGAACTGAATTACCAACTGTAGAACCTGGCCATAGCTCAGAGTAATACTCTAGGTCAATGGCTGGTGTTTTTAATTTACACGGAAATTGAACTAACTTATGGACGCGTTTCGTCCAGAATCGATCCAAATAGGATCGAACAGTAGCTGGCAAATCTCCACCAGCGTCGAGACTCACTAGCGATGAAAAATGAAGACGTGCCTATTGTGGTAAAATAGGCCAAGCCTGCAGGCGTATAATAGCTCTCAGTAAACTGTACTGCGTACTCAATATTAGCTACTTTAACCAAAATCGTACGATAATGAAGCGACTACAATACTTTTAGCTCCGTCTGGAAGTTCCACGTTCTGAGACGAGGCCTGATGCACTTAAGATGGAAATCCTATTCTAGTATATCAACTGATCCTGTCTTTAGAAAACTAGGTAACTGAAACTCAATATGCTTATTCACAAGAGCCGACCCTCTGGATTAGTTTTTAACTATCTTAACGAAAACTTTTTTTGGGACCACCTAAACGATGCCGCCGATGCTCATTATACGTTCCTAAACACAACTTCTTCTCTCCGGGCAAAATGTATTTGCCAAGGTTGTCAAATATGCCAAGGTACCTTTCATAGATTGATGTTTTCCGCGCTAAATTTTTGGTGACCACACTAGAGTATTAACCTATGCTTGATAGCAAGATTATATTCACGTGATTTGTTCGTGTGGAAAACCCGCCCTGGCTTTCTGTTCATCGTGGTTTGAGACTCACTGATCAAGTCCGACCGGAGGCCCATATGTCTACACCTCAAAAACAGCAACGCACTGCACAAAGCATAACTCTGCTATTTTTGCAAAAACATTTCACGTCTTGTTTAGTTTAACTTTTTTAGTGGGCGTTTACCTATAACTTCTGGTGAATACGTGTGTCATCTTGGATTATGTAACAAAATATGATTAAAGCTTTTATTAAAATGGTGATCATTTTACCTGATTATATGATTGTAAACATAATAGATTTACGTGTATGCTACAAACGTTTATTCCTAAATCTTTGAACTAGATTTTTATCTACTCGCTCCTTTGAGAACAGCTGATAACTACTTGTTACACGAATTAATTACCGTTTGTAACTCTGTGCCTGATAGCGAAGGAAAAATCAGGGTGGACACTGCCTTATATTTTTTCACAAGTCCAACATAAGGCAGGTAGGGGTCCAACGACGGCTAAGCGTGCCTTAAGGCGCTGTTTTCGAAACTCGCTATGTTACAAGATAATATAAACATATCCATTTTTGGACACATTGAAATTTCTATCAAGATTTAGAGTATGTCATTCGTACCACAAAATTTTAAGTACCTAACCAGTGAGTATAAGATGACACGTTTGCTATAAACGGCATTTCTAAGGCTAAATTATCAGCTTTTTCTTTACTGAACCTGAGGTTGACCAAAATAAATACAGGGCTTAGTATCTTCAACATTTCTATATTCGCATCAACAAATGCGTTATATATATGGCAGATCTTTTCAATGCAAATATCCCTCCTCCTGTCGATGACGCATTTTTTTCTTATATCCCTTTTTTTTCGATAAGATATTTCGCAGTCGTTTGAGTATAAATAATTTACAATCAGGAGATCACCTAAATCATTCCAATAGATCCATCATAACGATATCTTGTAGAGCATATATGATTAGCGCCGCAGACTTGTGCAAACATGGAAGTCTTAGCGTAACAGCTGTACATGTAGATCAACCACTACCATATTGAGTAACATTGCTCTTTAATTTCATGTAGAAATTTGCACAGTTGAAGAGTAGAGCAAGTCAACACGTAAATCACAGCAGCAAGATACACATGAATCTATCTGCCCATGTGAAAATGTTTCGTCGTTCTTGATGTGATAAGTCGTTTCCTATAAATCACATAGACAATCTAAGCGATTAAACAGACTATTGATAGAGTCGCATTAACTAAGCGCGTTTGAAAGAAAAGTGGCACGATTATAAACGTGAAGAATGATGCTATTATCATTTGCCAACAATGCATTCATTCATCTGCTTAATGATTTTTTGGGCAGAAAACGTAATATGGATGCTTATCAAAACCGTTTAAGCTACAGCTGCGAATAGTAATCATTCGTCATAAATTCACTTACAGGTGCAGACGTCACACCCCATTGAGTCCGTCCCAAAAATACATCCACTTGCGGTACAGGTAAGTGGATCCGCTACAGCTAAACAAGCATGACCCAAATAAGGAGCGCCCACAGAGCCGAAAGGCGGGAAGAACTGGCCTGAACAGGGGGGTGCCATCGAGCATACCAACAACAACAACAACGCCAACATTGATACAGCCGATATTACAGCGCCTTGCCAACCGGTCACCAACATTTTCGAAGCTGCAAACAAAAACACAACACGCAATGAATAACAGCGCTATTTGAGTGGCATTAAAATGAGTAGAAAAACTTGAATTTTATGCTCTACTACACTTTATCTAGCTGTGACGCCGACACTGTTCAAAATTATGAGCACCGGTTTGAAGATAGATGGTCCGTGTTTGAACAACAGCCATAGGCTAAGTATCAAGCTTATGGGTAAGTTAATGATCAAAGTTAACGTAAGATCAGACAAATGCAGTAACTATACATTGTATTTTCACATAAGTTGATGTAATTTTTACTGCACGCGGGCATCTATTAGATAGAAACTAGTATACAAAGCTTTTCTTTTTTGATAATATCGATACACACGTAAAACTTTCGTTAGTAATAATAAAGATATATTAATATTTAACTTTGCAAAACTTAGGTATAGCTCTTCGAATATTACGAAATGGTTTTCTCGACGAAAGACCTTGATCTCTCTAATGATTAACGTTTTTTCTGTTCAAAAATGGAAAGTCCTTGAAAAATATCGAAAACGAAGCGCAGCACTGTTTCGAAAATCGTTTCGGTCTATTTCTATAAAAATCGTGATTAACGTGTCCGCTTTCTTCTCGATTTATCGATGATCGTTAGGAGGCGGAACCGTACCAACATTCTTTACTTTACGATTACTAAGTGCCTGAAGAAAATAAATAATAAATGGCCCGTATTATGACATACTTCTTTATAAACCTTTTGACCTATGCAAGCAATTTATTCCCAGTCAGTAAATGGAAACAACGTTCTACCGCAAACGTTCGGTGGGGCAGCCACGTGAAGAAAAAGGACTATATTCGATGCTTTGCAAGAGGCGCTTTTTATACTTTAATATAAATTTTTTCCTCGTAAAGAATACCTGGGTTTACGTTGAGACGTATTTGGGTGCAGATGACGTCAAAGCCCACTCACAGATTTAAAACGACGATTATACTCGTAAAATTCACAATGACTCGACAATTCGAAACTCCGATGCTAAAATTTAGGTCTCGACCCCGCTAGATAGAAGTACGTTACCTTCTATAGTGAACATGGAAACAGCGTTATACTTTAAGTGGCTTGTTGACTACAGAAAACAACATTGAAGAAAACTAATCCTTTTTAAGCTATCGCCAGTACAAGCTCAAGGTTACTACTAAGATCTGTATTTTTTAAAACCTAACTTGCCATACGAACTACTTCGTAGATGCGTAACTCTCACATAAAAATATATATGAGAAGCTTCTAGCTGCGTAAATTGTATTATTAGTATTATCATTGTACCACGTAGTATTAATGGTTTGTAGGACGAAAAACGCTAATAAACTTTTATCGTATTTAGAAGATAGAATGTAGAACGATGTAGGCCATATACATCTGTTCGAGCAGGATTCATTGACAGTCTGTATTAAGGTTATAAGTGCTGATAATTAAATATTGATCTTAAGTTTCCTAAGAAGACTAAGACACGAATTGATTCTTTATACTTTCAACTACAATGGTTCCGCTACAACACGGTAGGATCTATTTTCTCTATTAGATTATCTATCGCTATTACAGAGGGCGCTCTTGGCAAAGGTTTTTGAGAGAGAATTAAGGAAAAGCAAGTGCATCTTTCAGACTTTTATGAGTTATCAATGCCTCAGAAACCTAGCCCTAGCAAGGCCGATTGTCGAGGGGTATAAAGGACAGACCGAAGTCGTAGACGCATATACTGCATGGGAAGAGTTTCTAACCTGGATGTCGTCACCAACCTGTTATTTCCTTAGTAATCGAAAAAACATATAAAGGCATATATGATACACACATTTTACAGGGCATTCTGCAGTGTTCGCCCTTACGCATTGGACATGCTCATTCGACATCACTTATCGATAGTAAGCGAAGATTTCAGTAATAAAATACAAAGGTTTCTTAGATTTATTCTTCCAACCATACTACTTCCGTTTAGCTGCGGAATGGGTGCATGCCCCTTTTGTTTTTACCATCTGCCCTTTCTTTTGTTTGAAACTGTTAGGCACTTGGGAATGCACGACACTACTGGCCGTCCACCTGGTCAAAGAAAGCCATGGAACATAATTAAATAGCACATGTGTGTATTCTACATATTCTATTGTATAGAAGATTCTAGTAGTGTTCTCAAAAACTTAAACAACGTCCAGAGACTTGATAAGAAGTTCGTAACACATTTTATGTGATATGCGTGAATAAAGTCCTGAAGGCTTGTAAGTAAACTTTGTACTTTCAACACTTGTGCGCATCATTTTTCTCTCTGAAGTGATTAGTAACACGGTTTTAAGAGCATATGTACTTCAACACAATTAACAATCTAGACGAATTGCAAGGGTGGGTTTGAGTCTTCTTCCATGGCTAAAATATAAAAATTATATCACCTCGAAGCTGATGGCAGTTCTGCCGCACGTCTACGTAGCTATCCCATCTGGATCAAAGTAAACGAAAGGCCGAGTTCAATGGGTCACTGTTTATTGGGGATTTTACAAGGATCTTGTGTGGTTCCCCTTTTCTCCTACATATCTACACCCGATGTGTCCTATACGACCACATAATCTGAAAACTGTATGTTTATAATTTGAAGAAATTGTAAAGTACTGCAAACTATACGATTGGTTTGAAATGATGATTCTATAAATATCAGTGGAAATTTAGTGATGTAAAGGGCAGCTTTCCGCTACCATAAGAAATTGATTGACGCGTGGAAGTAGTGCAAGAAGAACTGCAGGCAACTATATCAGGATGCTTAATAAGCTAGTCAATACGTCCACAGTTTGGTTTCTCCGTGCCTGGAGTGATATTATATA